GCTTTTTAGAATTCAAATCCCTCCCCTGTCTGGGGGAACTCAAGCCCAAACTTTTCATTAAACTAGTCATATACTCATTCTCGTGCTCTCTCTCTCTCCCCCTATGACCTCTATTTAATTGTGTCCAAGTAAAATGAAACTCTCACAAGAAACTGGGAAAGGTCTCATACCTTATAGCTTGAGGTTGGAACACTTTCCTGGAAGACAGCAGATATAGGTTTAAGTCTCCTTAGACAGAGGAAGGATTTGAATGTAAGCCCCAGGTGAGCGCTCTAGGCTGCTGGACAAAAGAAGGGACTCCATCTCCATGGGTTTTCCTTAGGCCCATAGAGGAAGTTCCCCACTCAATATGCAGTTCCACAATTCCTTTCCCTTTTATACTTTTGCATTAAAAAGTGAGCCCAAGTACCCAATTCAGGTGTATGGATTCCTCTGGAGAGCAAAGTCAACCAAGTCCTTTGATGGACCTATCCCTTACTTTTGCTGTGCCTTGTCTCTTCCACTGTAAAATGGTGTAATTCCCATTCTCCCTACTGCTAGGATGCTGTGAGACTAAATCTACTGAAACATTAGGAGGCATTTAAATATTATGATAGTGGAGCTCTATCTCCTTTTCATTCAACCAAGCTCCTGCAGTCTCTGTCTTTACGCGGTGCCTGACTACAGGTAGGAATTGAATGCAGGTGAACCAATTAAAGATGAATTTGGACAAGACAGAGGTAATGATGGTGGGCAGGCCTCATGCAGGGATAAGGACACCCATTATTGATGGGGTTCAGCTGCTCCTTCTCACTCACATCCATAGGCTTGGGATACCCCTGGATCCCCAGCTGCACTTAAGATTCTCAGATTGCAGCAGTGGCGAGGAGCACTTTTCACCATCTCCATCTGGTGGGAAGGCAGCAACCTTTTGCTTTAGATTCAGATCTGGCCACCATCGTCCATCTTTTCATAACTTCAGGGCTATACTACTGCAGTGCGCTCTACGTAGGGCTGCCCTTGAGGACCATCCAAAAGCTGCAGTTGGTACAGAACAGCGGCTTGCCTTCTGCCTGGGGGCCAAGAGCACGTTACTGCAGTGCTCCAGAGTGTGCACTAGGTTTCAAAAGCTTTCTGGGCACAAGTCTTGATCTGTAAAGCCCTGTATAGCCTGAGTCATAGGTACCTAAGGGACTGCCTCTTTCCTTACACTTCATCACGATCCCTAAGGTCAGCCAAGAGCAACCTCCTACAAATACCATCTATGCACTAGCTTCACTTAGCCAAACACATGGTAGGTTGTTCTGGGTTGTAGCTCCTCAGCCCTGGAGCTCCCCCGTCCTGCTTGAGGCCGGCCACAGCCCAAGCCTGACCCTGGTTATCTTTATTTGGGAAGGCTTTTAGCAGATGTGGTTAAAATCTGGGTATTCTTTGGGGTCATTTTATTAGTTTGTCTGCTTTTATTGTAAACCATTGAACCTTTTTGAAGAGGGCAGTATAAAAATCAAATAAATAAATGAACTTAAGAAAAGAATTTGGGTCCTTGGCTGTGGAGAGCTGTAACTTTCAATGAGTTTTAAAAGAGAGAGGAAGTTGCTAGTCAAGTGCCAGCTGTTCCAGTGTAGTGACCTAAACTCTGTAACCTTTAGTCAGACTGAGATAGTTCTCAAGGGGTGTTTGTTGTTTTATGTTGATTGTCTAGTTCCCTTTTAAGTGGCTTTGTCCTCTTGTCATTCTCGTTTTGTGAATTATTCTGTTCTCTTAGGACCCCACTACCTGTTACAGGTGCTGCGCAATGAACTGGGTAATTGCATGATTACCTTAAGACCAGCTACACATGCAAATAGCTATCATACGCTACAAAGCTTCAACTAGCTATAAAGTTAGACCTCAAAAATGTGTACTAACTTTATAGCTAGTTGCTATCCAGCTTTAATTTGCACATGTAGCAGGGTCTGTCAGCTAACAGGGCTCCCAGCCGAAGGCGTGCCCTTAGCTCAGCCTGAAATGCTCAAGCCCTGGGGATTGGGGTGCCATGATCCCCAAGGGTTGGGGGTGCATGTATCCCCCAGCTCACATGGGGCTCTCGATCTCAGCTGCGCCTCAAGCAGCCGGGGCAGAAACTTCCTCAATTGACGGGGCTCCCAGGCCCAGCTGCACCTCACATGTAGCATGGCAGGAGGCACAATTATGTGGATCACACGTTGGATCCAACTGTGCCTTTACCCACACATGTAGCAGAGGCCTCAGTGTACGCTGCCCTAAGCCTTTGTTGCAAGCGGCATATAAAGTGAATAAATAATATATGAAACTTTAACTTTGAATAAATCAGGTTAAAGTTACAACACTTTATGCCTTCATTCCATCCCAATGCAACTGCTTATACCTATATCATTCCATCCCAATGCAACCAAGTCTTTATCTCCAAAAGGGTACTGGTATCCTCAAGCAGAATATCTGGCTGAATATTTGCAAGTGTTTTATGATAAAGAACCCATTGGAAATCAATGCCATCTTTTCTTATGCTGATTGAGTCACAGCCTATTAACTAAAAAACCTTGGTCTAATTCTATACTTTTTGCACACAGAAAAAAAAAACCCTTTTAAATAAATGAGACTATGGAGTGATGCAGGAATGGAGGACTGGAGCTATCATTTCCACCATTAGACACATTTCCTGCTGCTATCACTGATTTTGGCACACCACAGGGAAGTAAATAAAAACAGACATATCCACTCCATGTTCACTCAAAATGTAAGAGGATGAGGGTTTGGGCAGAAAAAAGAGTATTTGCCAGATGGACAAAAACAGTTGGAAAAGATAATTTTATTTTCAGGCTTCTAAGAAATGTTACAAACAATGGAGGTGTAAAAAATACCTATAAAAATGTTGACATTGTTTTTTAAACTGTAGAATAAATGAAGTTACAGAACCAAATATGTACAGTGAAATGTTTTTCCCCATTCTAATACTGAGTGGGTTGAAAATGGCATAAATATGGCCCAGTAATAAATCTGCAAACCTTGTAAACCCCCAAACAATCCAAGATGCATAGCCTAGCATACTTATACTGTACAAGGATCTCGGATCAACATGTATCTGTATTACTGAAATCACCTATATGAAAATACTGCGATTAGTGCACACTTCATGCAGTTTGTAATGCCGAAAGTCTTGTAGACACTGTATAGTACAATGTACAACAGAATAGAAAACAGCGTGCACATCTACTGCCTCATCTATGGCGTCCAATAAATGTCTAGTCACTCTACTCCCTCTGTGTTTTATACTAATATGCTATGGAGTTCTCTCAGTGGTTTTTTTCTTTTCTTCTCACGTAAAATAGGATGAAATTCCTGCTATCATTTCTGTCCTGACTTTAAAGATACTTAACTCACAGATCCAATCTTGATGCCCTATATTATGGTCACTATCCTTCTACCTGCAAGGAGAGTGGAAGGGCAGTAAAGCAGCCTTGTAAATGCTAGCTACTGGGGTCACTCGATCAAAAAAGGCAACCATTAACTTTCACACTCCATCCACCACCTCCTCCAGTCCTTCTAACTCACTGACAAAATGGAGAGGGCAACTCCCCCAGCACATTTTGAAATCCTGCTTCCATCTGAACACTGATGCATCACTAGTTCTGTTGACAGGGGACACTGCACACTGCTACAGGATTTGCCCCACTCTTTCTTATTCCCTCCTTTTCTGCTAAAATTACTATTGAAATAAAGGAAAAACTTTAGCCATAGGGAGGACTTTATGATCTTCAACAATTCTATGGAGAGCTGAACACAGAAACCTGCTTCTGCCCTTTCTGATTGCTGTACAACGTATTCTCTCTTTGAAATAAATATTGGGCATTTAAAAATATCAGCACAATCTAATTAATGGTTTAAGTGAAACTGCAAAGCACTGAAAGCATTTGCACACCAAAGTTTTTCTGAACACCTTCAAATAAATTTGGAGAATTCATATCTTAGGTGGTCCATGAGTCAGTCCCACCTGGCCATAACAGTATGTAAAATGTATCCCATTCACACCATTCAAAACAGCTGGGCTGGGGCCAGGGTGTGGAGAAGGCAGGGTGGTCCCGCTGCTGTGCACATTCCAGGACGCAGGGGGCGCATGTGCCCCCGGATCTGTGTGGGGTGGGGCAGCGCTGGGCTCTTCCTGGCGGGGACTGGGCAAGGCTGCACTCAGGGCAGGCAGCAGCGCTGGGAAGAGGACTGGGGGGGGGGGCTCCAGCCACCCCAAAATTCACTTAGCACCCCCCAAACCCTCCTCCCAGTGCTGCCACCCACCCTGTCCCAAGCACAGCACAGCACAGCCCAGCACAGCCCAGCCCAGCACCCGCCAGGAAGTGCCTGGCACAGTCCCAGCCCCAGCCCACAGGAGCATCCTACCCCACCCTGAGCAGATCCGGGGGGGCACATGCTCCCCCATGCCCTCTCAGGGTAAGTGCAGCAGCAGGAGCTGCCCCCCCCCACCTGATGCATCCCCCGGATGAGCCACGACTCCATCCTGCCCTGCACCAGCTCCAGCCTCACTTCCTGCCTCACCTCTGGGACCTTGATCTGTCCCCTCTCCCCCCACGCCTCTTCCCTCCCCGCTCCCCTTCCATCACAAGACTTACCAGCTAGACACAGCTCTCCAAGCTGTGCTCCTCGCTGCCTACATGCTGTACTGCAGCTGCAAGCGTGCACACAGCATATAATCGGCCACATTATCAGCCACATCAGGCAAAAAAAGCCAATTTCAATACAATTTTCTTTATAGCGGTGCCGATCTGATATCAGAATGATGTATTGGTCGGTGCACCTCTAGACTAATACAGTCCTAGGTCCCAAACATATTAGTAAAGCTTCTAATTTACTTTTAACTGGAGAAAGCTATGTGTTGTGTTATATGTACCGATGTACCTCACCATCTGCACCCTCCTTTTCAAAATTCTGGATCCACCCATGGACAAATGTTTCTCAGAGTGAGACAATATTCTCCAAATTCCATTTTTTACACCACTGTCCCCAAGGTGAACATTCTCTCTCCCTTTCAAGTTTTTTCCAACACCTCCAGAACATGAACAGATTTCTCTCATTCCAGTTTAGCAATTACAGTCAAAACAATGAAAATCTTCTCTGAAACTGGCAGGGGCAAATATTTCCTTTATACAATGCACAAACAGCTTGTGCAAGCTATTTGCCATAAGATATCTTTGAAGCTAAGAACCTAACTTGTTTCAAAAAGAGATTAGCCAATTATACAGATGAAAAAACTGACAGTGAATATTAAGAACTAAACTTGGTATGGGGAAGGGATGTAAATCCTCCTCTTTCAGGTCCAAAGCCAGTCTCTGCTGGCTGGTAGTAAAGATCTTTCCCCATGGGCAGGTTTTCCTGTAACTGGTCCTTGCATCTTGCCAAAGCCTTTGGTACTGGCCACTGTTAATGGCAGGATGCTAGACTAGCTCTGACTAGGTCTGATTCTGTATAGGAGTTCCTTTGTTAGGCTTCCACTGAGAAGCTCTGCCACTCTCTCTTCTCCAGCCACAAGACATGGTTGCAAACTAGTCATGAGCACAGGAGATATATCCACTAGTAAAGGTAAAGACATAATTTTAAATTACAGCTCAAAGCTAAGGACAACATGTCCTGTTCAACTTCCCTTCACCCTTCTCAAAAAAAATAAAAGAAAGAAAAAACAACATCAAGGCAGACCAGTCTCCTTTGTACTTAGTTATTACAGACAAATTCAACTCCACAATGTGCCTCTGAAATTTCCACTGAAGAAAATGTGAGCCACTCATGTCCATCCAAAGAGAGAATATGGCCTATTAAAAGGTTGCCCAAACGTCTATCTCTTTAAATGTTTTCTTGTTCCAGGCATGGATTTTAAAGACAGAATAGTGAGCCATGTACTGAACTTCTTAACTTATCCATAAAGAGTACAAAAGCTATTATTCAAAAAAAGGACAGGCTGCAATTCACAACTTCTTATAGTTATTTAAATGAAAAGTGTTAAATAAGGTACAGAAACCTTTGTTAGCATCTGCTCAGCATTAGGTATTTACCTTTAGTCCACCACAGATTGGACAAGCTGAAAAGAGAGCTCTTGTCATCCCAGGGTGGGGGCTACATATTTCACAGGGGTCAGCTGGGACTCCACTAGGTGGTGCCAACTCACTACCTTTCGAGTCTGACACCTGTCCTTGTGGTTTTACATCTGACCATCTGGAAACAAATTCCGCATATGTCTCCTCACTTGAGTCCTTGGTGCTTTCTGGGAGTGAGGATGCTTGCCTTCCCCGGTCTTGGCTTTGCTCAGGTGCCATCTGTGCTTCCAGGTGCGGTACCAGCAGTTTAGGGTCACTAATGCCTTGGGGTGCCTGGGCCTGGTCCTTGGGTAATGTGGAATCTGCACTCTTGCGTTGCACATCTTTAGCAGCTGCCTGTAATAAACTCCTGGGTGTGTCATAAATATGTCTGAGAGAGCTGGGAACCTGATACTCTGAGCCTGCACTCCTCTGGGGCTCACCATGAGGGCAAGTACATAAATTTTGATCTGAAGGAAGGGTCAATGGTAGGCTTAGCAACGATCCAAACTCCTCACCATGGCAAATATCCAGGCTTCCAGCATAGGAAGAGAAACTTCCAGAGTAAGAAGAGTGGCTACCCGTAGCTATCCCACTGTCAGAGGAACTCTGACGACCTATTTCCTGCAGCTGTCTGGACCGAAGAGGCTTAGGAGGTGGTTTGGCAGTGCCACGTGCCCCTTCTGCATGGGCTTTTTCTTCCCCCAGATGAATGCCTTTTGCTGCTCCCAATCCATGACTCTCTTGAGAAGTGCTGGCTGATGACTGTTCAGGCCAAATTGTTAACCTGCTCCCAACACTAACGTCCGAGTGACTAGTATCTGAAGAGGAACTCGACAGACTTCTGTCATCTCCTGGAATAAAAAAAACCAGATCATTCTCACATTCAAAATCTAGATGATTAAACTAAGAATGTAGTTATAACTAAAGACATAAAAAACAGATTATGAAGTTCTGTTTCTCTTAAGGGCCAGCAGGAAGGGGCCATTCTGCCATAACAATGCAATGCATGTTCTGAATTGTACCTCTAGAAAAAAATATATATAAAGCAATGTGGCTACCTTTATTGTGAGCCTGCTTTCTTCAGAAAATATACTGCATTTTATGCAAAGTTTGAAGAAATTGTACCTGATCCTATTCCTTGTCTAGGACATATTCTACCCCTGTATAATCTTTTTTATTCAGCTATTCCTGATCCACACTGTAAGAGAGTCAGAGTAGCTGGGAATTTTCCTTAAAATTTAAACTTTTCATTCCTAATTTCCCCAACCTGTGGACTAGATTTCAGTGTTGGACTGGAAGCAGCTAAATGAACAATCTCAGTGTCTGTTGCTTTTTCTGTTATGTAATCTGAATGAAAAAATAGCATAGTGAACCTTTAAAAGAAGCAGTAAAAATAAAATCAATTAAGATCCTAATTATCTTTGACCCCAATAGAACCTACAATAAATACAATAAACTCCACAGCTGTACATCACATGGGCAAACAAAAAATGGACTGCTAATGCAAATGATGATACTTTTGTAACCCAATACAGAATGTTCTGTATATACCTCCCATGATGCATTTGGACTAAAAATTGAATTATTTTAATTAGCAAATGGAATTACAGAAATAATTTTAATGGTGTGCATACATATTGTAAGAATTCATAATGGCAGTGGAACAGGTAGGCTTTGAATTGTTACGGTAAGGACAGCAAAATACTTCTTTCATGTCTAAAGACCTTCTTCGTGTTGTAGCACAAGTGGAAAAGGAAACTATTTTTCTCTTACGTAAGAACTGAAATTCAAGGTGGGGGAGGAGAAAAAGGGCACACCACTGTTTGGTTGATGTTAATAATAGGCCCCCATGAACCAGATCCTCTGCAATGTGTATGGGTGTATTCTGCTTGTCACCTAAAGACTTGGTCCTAAAAGTCAAATTCTCGTCTCAGTTACAGCGGTTAGTGCACCTTCCAAGATGGAAAACATGGACAAGGGAGTCCCCTCAGGCAGAAGAATATGTTCCTGAGTCTCCTTTCTCTGAGATGTTCTAACTACTAAGTTATGGGATAGTAAACTGGGGCAATATCATCTCCCCAACCTGTGTTGTATTGGCCCACTCTCACAGATATGCTCTAAGAACACCTTCCAAACTGGGCCCTCCCAGTGGGAGCCAGCAGTCCTCCCAGCCGCGCAGCCCTCCCAGGGGAAGGGCAGAGCAGGCAAGCTGGCTGCCGCCCCCACCCTTCACCTCTGATTTGCTGAGAGGGCTGCCTGTTGTGTGGCCCCATTCCTCTCCACCAATTAGTGGCAAGGTTCAGGGCCACCACGGCCCCTCAGCCAATCAGTAGCATGGGAGCGGGGGCCCAGCCATGATAAGCCCTTGAAAATTGCAGCTGGCCTTGCAATCTGCCTGCAAAATCAGCCAGCTGCCTCCTTGAGTTGAGTAGACCCTTAATCATAGGTCCTGACTGGACTACTTGGAATGATCTAGTTAAGGATGGTCCTGTTCTGAGCAGGGGGTTGGACTAAATGACCTCCTGAGGTCCCTTCCAACCCTCATTTTCTATGATTCTATGGTTTACTTACTACTCATATGCTGACACCTTCTTGTATAGGCACTCAAGAACCTAATCCAAGACCCACTGAAATACTGCCATCATTTCCAACAAGCTTTAATTAATGCCCTTAGAGCAGTGGCAACATAATGAACTAGCATGTCCAATTTTTAAAAAGGTCCAACACTTTAAAATGATACCATTTTCTCATTTCTGAAGCCCCTCTGGTTTGTAATATAGCTTATTCTTTCTTACCTCCGCTGCCCTGACGACTTGTATGGGATAGTAAGCTCAGGCGTTTCTCTAACTGCAATGCTTCATGGACCAATTTCTCTTCTGAATAGGTTGGACTTGTGCTTGGGTCTTAAAAAAAGAAATGAACACATTAGAATGTAAAAGAAAAAAAAATGAAAGTATTTGAAGAAAATACCAATAAACCCTCCCACGTTGTCCGTTATCTATTGTTGTCCTGTATTTTCTACCAGAGGACTTCAGCAAACACTGGCATACGTTTGAGGCATCGCTGTTCCCTAAAATACTTGATTTTTGCTACCACATGCATTGACTGAGGCCAGCTATTTAAAAAGATACCCTGTATCTAACCTCATAGAAGTTACAGGTAGAAAAAACCAAATAGGTGATCTAGGACATCTCCCTGCCAGTACAGAACCATTCCCTGTAGTATATTATCTAGTTTTGGTCATTCTAGCATAAATGTTTTGATGAAAGAAAAACCTGCCATCTTACTGGGGAAAAAATATTGAATGCTTCACGAACATGTGTGTGATCCTTTCGTAGGGAATATGCCACTCTTCTCTATACCGTTTTATTTTCCAGCCTTGCACCACAATGGAACCAGATGTTGGAAGCAATCATTACTATAGTCTTGAGAGCAATTTGACAGATTATTGTAAACAGCTTTAAAATGTGTGTCATGTTGAGCAGCTGCAATGGATATGGTCTGGTAACTCATTTTATCACTTCTGTTTCAGTAGCTCTTGTAATTCAATAGGAAAAGAAGTGAATGCGAGTTACAATAAACATTAGCTTCTGCACAACTGCACTTTCAGTGTTCCTGCTCACACTGGTTGTAATATCATCTGTAACAAGTCTACATGGAAACATTTAATAAAGAGACAAAGGATAAATGGAAATATAACTTACTGTTAATGAACTAACAAACAATTTCAAACTGGAGAAGCCAAGGTTTCCACATCATTACATTCTGTTTATCTATTCTCAAAGACTTGGGCTTAATTCACTCCCTCAGTTGCCAAATATATCCGTAGAGAGATTCACTTCAACAAATAATAGACAAACAGTAGGTTTAACAATTTCTACAAACCCCTACAACAAAGGCTACCCAGGAAATGAGCTGAATCAGAACATCTCCCATGCTCCATGCCCTGACACAATTTTTTAACTGCATGTGATAAGGCTAAATTTCTCAGTAAAAAAAGTTGTAGTTCTGAACCTCACCTAGGTGGGCTTTCCATCCCTTCTGATCTGCATCTTTGGTGCTAATGAGAGAATGATTTGGCCAGACTACATACTGTCTGTTTTTATAGTGAACCTTAATGTTGCTATAAAAGGGCCAGGGCTTAAAGTATTCACAAAGAAGTGATCAGTCTATCAAGGCCCCTCTCTATGTGCAGATAAAGGTGCAATGGATCTAATGCGCAAGCCACACAATCATACCTCCTCCCAAGCTGCACATGCACAGCAGGAGGCATGATTGTGGGATCACGCATTAGATCCCATCAGGCCAAGCAAGGCTCCCCCTGCACCAGTGAGAAGCAAGCTCCTGTAGCTAGGAGCCCCCTTAGCTGAGGATCTTCCAGCTGTGGGTGCACCCCACACACACTTGCGGCTGGGAGATGCAGCTTCTGCGAGCTCAGGACTGGGAGATAGTAGCTGTCAGTGTCTCCCAGCCTCAGGGGTTTCATGCACCCCCAAGGCCAGGAGACAACAGCAGCCACAATCTCCCAGCCCTGGGAGTTTCATGCACCCCTAGCGATGGGAAGCCACAGCAGCTGTCATCTCTCAGCCCTGGGGGCTCCATTGTGCCCCTAGAGCTAGATCACAGCCGTGCCCCATGGCTGCCAGAACACAACATCTGCAGGTGTGGGACTCTAGGTCCTAGCAGCCACAGGGCACTGCCAGGACCCAGAGTTGGCAGCTGCCAGGGCTGAGAGTCCTCTCAGCTGCAGAACTCCCAGCCCAGGCTAGGCAAGGTGCACCCCCCACAGATGACATGGCTCCCAGCCACAGGGGAGACCCTGCTATACATGTAGATTAAAGCTGGATACCTACCAGCTATAAAATGAGTACACATTTTTGAGGTCTAACTTGATCGCTGGTTGCAGCTTTTTAAGGTATGATAGGTACTTTGCACATGTACCTGCTTTCAGTGAACTGTACAATTAACCAGCTAATTGTGCAATACCTTTAACGTGTGGAGGGGGCCTCAGGGGCCTACAGACATTCAGGGCCTCCCTCTAACTCACTTACATAAAGCGCCATGAGTTAGAGTTCCCCCCATCCCACCCCGACAGACCTTTGCCTCATGGGCCCCAACAGCTACCCTAGCTGGGGATTGTGGGGAGCTGAGCCAGGCCTGCGAGGCAAGGGGGGCTCCCTTCCCTTAACCTCCATCCAGGCCTCGACAATGGCAGCACAGAGCAGCCAGACGCTTTTGAATGGCCAGAGCTGGGGGTGGGGAGCAGGATGGAATGGAGCCCCCTTGCCTCACAGGCCCGGCTCAGTTCTCCCAATACCCTAGCCAGAGTAGCTAGGGGGCCAACAAGGCAAAAATTTCATCCTGCCCCCTCCCCCTGCATCAGCTCTGGGCCTTCAAAAGCAGCTGGCAGCTCTGCGCTGCTGCTCCCCCTCTCCCCCACTGACAGCCCTGGGGTACACAAGAACCAGCCCAGCCCCACCCTCACGTAAAAATTAACCCTGGAGGGGACACAAGTTCCCTAAGGCGCTCTGCTTTAGAGCACCTTAATTTAATATTTCATTTGACCAGGGTTAATTTTTTGCGTGACCAGCCATTTTAAAAGCACTCTGCAACCATGCATGTATGTTAAGTCACAGCTGCAGAGTACTTTCAGAGGCCCAATCATGTAAAAAATGTCACTTGTGTAAGCAACCTCAGTGTCACTCTCTGGAGAAAGTTTATGTCATGTCTCAACCCCATGTCATCCTCACATACACTGACATTACAATTCCTTCTTGCCAGTGACTGACATGTCTCAGATATATCTTCAAAGGTTTTTCATACCATATCTTGGATAGCTCTATGATCCCACCCCACTCTCCTGAAAGCTCAGCCCATTTTGGACCTCAGCAAGTCCCTGCTAAGGCTTATACTGAAAAAGAACCTGATCATTCCTAAAGAAATGGTCTAAAGAAGGTTGATTCCCCTCCTGAAACCTTCTCCTACCACTCCTTTCCCATTCCGTTAGGTAGGGGTTACATGAAGGTTAAACTGACTGAGATGCCTGTGATGAAAGGGATTTTATTTTTACCATTAGTGTTGGTGGACACTCATTAGACTCAGCTGAGTTGTCTATTGTGGGCTATTTTCAATACTTTGATACTACACAAATGTATTCATGTATTTCAAAGCTCAAAGAGCGTGGAATAAGCACCTACAGATTGGAATATTATGAATTAAAATAAATCAGGAGCTACTGGAGATGTTCTTGCGTTGTGGGCTTCATAAAAAGTATTACTGTGTTATGTTGCTTTTTTTACACAATTAGTCAAGGACGGAACCAAAGACTAAATCTCTTCCTTCCTTTGCAAATTTAAGTCATATTTTTGCCCTTATAGATTTACAATGAGATCCTCTCTCCCACTCTGGTCCCTTTGTATCATGTGTAGAGGACCAGAGAGAATTACAGAGAGCCAACAGCTGATGGATAATTCCCCTGGATATAGTACCCTGTAGCTATGTGCCTACTGACACATGCATTTAGACTTTCACTTTTAGAAACTGGACACTTCTTAATTAGTCAAATTAACACTGCCACAAATAAAAAATAGGAAAATGGGGCAGTTTCCCAATTTATCTCTTTCTGTGCATCCTTAAACTTTCCTCATGTTAACATTTAATTACAGCGTTCCATTTAGAAAAAGGTTAAGTGAACTTTCAGCAGATATAAGATTAGCAACACATTCATCAATTCATCAAAAGACCTCCTGTTGCTCATTCAAATTTGGCCTTAAAATGCAGAACTGTTAAAAGATTAACGTTTAGTCTTCCACCATCTCATCCATTTATTGTTATTTAACACCTCATGCCCATTTGGAAGTGTTGTTTCACTGACTACTACCCACAGTGCTAACAGAGTTACCCCAAGAATAATGTGGTCAAATAACTTCTGAAAGCTTTTTTGCCTCATTAAAAAGCTACAGGCTGAAGCTGCTTGGTTTTCTTTGCTATTTGACTAGAATTTTTTCTTTCACACGTGCATGATGTGAAGCAAAAATTGCCTTTCATGCTTATGCTATGCTGATAACAAATATCAAAGCTCTAGAAATAAAAGTTATGTGATAATAGTTAATAAAAATGAAGTATCACGTCTTTTCTTTCTAAATATTTATTTTAATTTATGGGCAAGAGGTTAATTGCATTTGTCTGGATGTTCCATTTGGAAGCATTTCGGTAGTTATTCAAGCACATCGTATGCTTAATTTGCACAATTCTATACACAAAGGTATGCAATTGCAAAATACAGTTGTACCAAAATGACATCAATTTTTCTACTAATAAACTACAGTTTCCAGAACTGGATGGCTAAACTATACATAGAGCTCCTGCATTTGAGCTACGAAAGTATATGTGTACACCTCTTTACTGCACCCCTTTAAATGTCAACATGGGGCAAGAATATTCCACCCACGCACTTGACTCCTCACTGTGTCAAACCAAAAACTGAGGTACCAAAACCCCTGTGGAGACACCTACCACTGCTACCCCTAAGCACAACAAAGACACAGAGCTCAATCGTAGCAACACAGGCTACCTCTAGATCGGTTTCAGCATTTTCTGGTCATACATGTATGGGGGGAGTGGGTAGGTAAGACATGCTCTTCAGCTGAAGCTTCAAGAGTGAAGGGGAAGTAGTATGGGAAGCTCAAAACAGTTGCCTAGGCATGTAATGGTCATTTCAGAGTAGCTATGTGCCTGCTGGCATCTGCAGTTTAGACTTACATTTTTAGAAATTGGACACTTGTTAATCAATCACTTTAACACTACCACAAATAAAAAACAGGAAAATGGGGCAGTTTTAGAATAAGTCTTGTTCCTTGTGTCCTTGAAGTTTCCTCGTGTTAATATTCAATTATGTAGTTCCCCTTAGAAAAGGGTTATGTGAACTTTCTGCAAATACAAGGTTAGCAGACATTCATCACCCTTCCTTCTTTCCAAACACACACTGGAAGGACAGTTTGAGCAAACTTACTGCGTAGCTTCCCCAGACAATACATGCTCTGTGGAGAGAAGAATGCAGTCTCAGCCCGTGCTGTCAATCTAACTCCTTTTACTGCACCAAGTTCTGCACTAAATTTGTAAAAATATGCCCTTTGTAACACATAGGAACATTAAAGGCTCTATTTGCCTTCCTCTTGAAAGTATTGAGGAGTCTTTCAAACATGTTTTTAAGTTTTCAGTGGTCAGAGGTGCTGCTAAATGCAAGGATTCAAAATTCAAATTAGAAGTCAGAAATCTGGTTCACATCTAAGTTTATAAACCAACCAAATTCTGGAAATCAGATTTCAGAAACAGGGCACTTAGGAAGACAGACTGTATTGAGCATGATTTGCACTACTTAATTTTAATGCTGATAGTAACAACCTGGGGAAGATTTAGGAGGGATTAAACAGCAGTTTTCAAATATCTGAAGGGAAATTAGAAAACAGGATCAAAAGAGCCTTTTCTCTGAGGTCCTAGGGGATAGGACTACAAGTGATAGCCTCAAACTGCAGCAGAGGAAATTTTGGCTGGAGATTAGGAAGAACTTTCTGAGTGAGGATAGTCAAGCACTGGAACAGGGTACCTAGAGAAGTTGTGAAGTCTCCATCCCTGGAAATTTTCAGGCACAGGTTAGAGAGACATCTGATGAGGATAGTTTAGTCAGGGATGATCCTGCCTTGAGCAAGGGACTGGACTAAATGACCTTGTGAGGTCTTTTTCAGCCCTACTTTCCTATAATCCTATGAATGTTGGCAAGGAAGTTCTATTCTAGTAAACTGAGGTATAGGGATGATTAATTCTTTTAATATACCCCTTTCAACAGATTTGGTGGATTTTGATACTCTTGCCAGATACCGTACGCAGCTGGTGGTGACTTGACCTTTTCAAGTAATACTGTACATTCTGTGTAATGGAATAGTCGATAAAGAAATTTAGTCTGCAGCTGAATCACCGGCATTGCGCACAGTGTAGTGTTGTTATGTCAGTATAATATACACTATATACATTAAGCAGTTCTATACAAGCTTCCAAATGACACGATAAATACAGGACTGAAATGTAGATTTATGCAAAGTTATGTTTCCTATAAGACAAAAAAAGGGACCACAATCAGGTTGCTTCATGTAGAATATGTTTCATATCTCTTTTTGAACATGGGGGAAGGTTGCTTTTTTTATTTAGTTATACCAGCAAAGGGTCTAGCTAGAGTTTTGCTGGATGATGGACTTTATCTATCACTTTTTCCATGAAGGCTGAGAATGTTCCATCCATTCTCAGACATAGTTTTTCAAGCACCTGAGAAGACCTGCTGGACAACACTGTCACAAGCAAGCTAAGGGAGTATGGGTTGGATGAATGGACTGTAAGGTGGACAGAAAACTGGCTAGATCATCAGGCTCAGAGAGTAGTAATCAGTGGCTTGAAGTCTAGTGGAGTGCCCCAGTGGTCAGTACTGGGACCAGTTTTCCTCAATATATTCATCAGTGACCTGGGAGAGGTGATGGAGTACACCCTCAGCAAGTTTGCAGATTACACCAAGCTGGGGGGAGTAGTAGATACACTGGAGGGTAGGGCTGGGATTCAGAAAGACTTCAACATACTGGAGAATTGGACAAACAGAAATCTCATGAAGTTTAATAAGGACAAGTGTAAAGTCCTGCATTAAGGATGGAACAATCCCACACAGGCTGGGGACCAACTGGCTAAGCAGCAGCTCTGCAGAAAAGTACCTGGGGGTTGCAATGGACAAGAAGCTGAATATGAGCCGACAGCATGTCATTGTCATGAACAAGGCTAATGGCATACTGGGCTACATTAGTAGGAGCATTGCCAGCAGATTGAGAGAAGTGATTCTTCCCCTCTATTCGGCACTAGTGAGGCCACATCTGGAGTACTGTGTCCAGTTTTGGACCCCCAGTACAGAAAGGATGTAGACAAATTGGAGAGTCCAGTGGAGGGCAACAAAGATGTGGGGGGATGTGGGCACGCTAG